CTGAAGTCTTTTTTGATGAAAATGGCGGCTCCACTCATTACGCCAACATCTGAACTCTTTCCAAAACCAAAAACCGAATTAGATTAAGATTAAAATTAGTGGGGGACCCAAAAAGAAGAACAGTTGATAGAAGAAGAGGAGTTAAAAGAATTTTGCTGACCGTAACCGAGCAAGATGGAAGCCATGGAAGCCAAAATGGCACACATAAAAGCATATTTGTTTCTTTTGGGCTTGTTGGGAACTGAAACTGCAGAGGGTTCATCATCTTCCCGGTAACCCATTGTTCAGAAAGCTTTAATTTTGCGGTTTGGAGTGAGAATTCTGTGTTATGTTTATATAGAGAGAGAGAGAGGTGGTTATTGCTGCGGCGAAGCCAATGGCTGAGAGTTTCAGTGGAAGTGAAAGAGAAGAACGTGGCCATGAAACAGTGATAACGACAACCATGCTTCTGCAATTCATTCTTCTTAATCTTTCCAAAATTTTACTCTCCATATATTAAAGATTCTTRATTASATCGTTGCTACCTAAACAAAAATTTGTGAGCTTTACAGTGGGTTGTTAATAACATGAATATTATTCGGTGGTTAAGTTCTTGTTTCTTTTGTAAAATGAGATAAACTTGAAAAGAAATTTAAATAAAAATGATATGTTAAATTGTCATTTTAATTAAGTTTCAATTAGATTAAATCTCTCGGGATTGTTTTTATTATGGCCAGTGTTAATAGTTTTATTAGGACTCATTTACTACCGTTCCCATTTCTTATTTCTTTTGTTTTCAATTTATTAAGAAATTTAAGTATTTGACAAGTATTTATGTTCGTTTGTTTCTCGTTTTTTTTAAACATTCCCAAAATTATATAGAAATTTTGGAATTATAAAAAACGAGTTTCTTGTTTTTTTTAATTTATGTTTCCAATTTGTTGCCACATAAATAAATATTTTATTTTATTATTTTTAAATATATGGGTGTTGGGGTCGTGCAAATTCTATTTTGTTTATTTGAAAAAAAAACAAAAACAAAAACGTTGCCCTTGATGACCTGATTCTTTGACTTCGGTTCCAATTTCGTCTTTAATACCAATCTAAATTATTTTTTATATGCTAGGTAATTTATAGTTTATTTTCATAGACTATCTACGTGGGAGTTTTAAATGCAAAAGAAATCTTATACTTTAATAATTGATCTCCACTCCCACATATTGTACTAAAAAAAWTTTTWWYCCCYWAAAWTTWAMMWTWWWAAWWRKTTTKRRGRRAAAAAAAACTATTTTGAGAATAGTRACTAACAACAATCAAAGTTTTAAGTGTCGGTGTTGATTGAAATGTGKATATCTCAATTTCATAAAAATATTGATGTCAATAAATATTTCAAAAAAAAATTAAAAATAAAAAATTGTTAAAATATTTAAATTAACAAATAAGCTTTTCACCCCTTCTAAATAAATTTAAAAGAATTAATATTAATATTATATCTATAATAATGATATTTTGTCGATTTTTTTTATAATACTATAGAAATGTTGATTTACCTTTATATCAAACTTATGAACATATGAAAATATTTATGTCAGAAAAAAAACCAACAACAACTATTGATATATATAGTTTAACTTTTCCATAAATTTGGAGAAAGTGAGAAACAAAAATTTCCAACCTCATAGATGCAAACAATTGAACCATCCCTATCTTAGAAATTTCAATGATTTCAAGAAAGAAAGTGTTTTACAAATTTGCACTCCTTTTTTTTTATTACACTTTTATCATGATTAAATTTTGTATGGTTTAAAAAGGTTTACAACTCTCCAATCATATATAGGTCCACCCCCACCTAGTTAATAACAAATTCAATGAAAAAAAATGTTGCATGCCAATAAATAGAAACTTTTATTTGTAACTTGTTTCTATAATATATATATATATATATATATATATATATATATATATATATTAGGCAATGTAACTTGTTTCTATTAAATGGAAAGCATTAGAAATTTTTAAAAATTGAAAATTTTAATGTGATTCATTTATGTTATTAGACAAGGACTTTTTAGTAACATTTTTTTTTTTTGGATAAATGCATTATTTTCACAGAGTGATTACAATATTTTTATTTAAAAAGAGAGAACTTAAACTATGGAACAAAAATAAAGTTTGTTAAAAGTGATTTTATTTTCAGATATATACTAAATTTGTAGTGCTTCAAGTGGTAAGTCATCCATGGAAAATCAAACATCTTATTTATTCAATATAATATATATTAAAATATAAAAATATAAAAAAATTGGATTACATGAGTTTTCTTGGTAAAATGAATTTTTGCATTTATTTTATTTTTCTACTTAAATTTTTATGTCATAAACTTAAAAATTACAATAATTATATAAGTTATAAATTTAAGATTAAATCGGATGAAATTAACCTTTAGAGCCAAAAGAAAAAAAAATTCCTTTCTTAAATTTTATTTAAAAAAGAAGAAATCAAAAGATCAGGTGGGCGACAAGTTCAACACACGTGGCTTTGAAATTTTGGGATTCTAAAGTCCCTCTTGACCCGCCACTTTCTTATGTCTTTTGGATCTTCCGTTTAATAATTTACATTTGACCGTACAAATGACAAAACATATATATACACACACACGACATTTTATGAATTTCTTTTAATTTAAAAGACGAAAATTTGAATCTCTAATCTTTGCTTTAATTAGTTAAGATTTAGGATATATTTTGACAATGTTTTAATTCTATAAAGAAATCTATGTATTTTACGACTCGTTATGTTTTTTATTTTTTATTTTTTTGGAAACTTTTTCAAAATTGTATACAAATTTTGAAAACAACACAAACATTTTTTTTTAAATTTCTGGTTTCATATCATTTTATTTTTCTTTATTAAAAAGAAAGATAACAAATGGAAACGCTAACAAAAGAGCCTTTAATTGCAACTTTCAATTTTGTAAATAATATGACTCTCAACTTTCAATTTTGTATATAATAAATATGTGAATTTAAAAATAAAATGACAGTTAGGTTAATGACCGATTAGTTTCAAAATTGAAAATTTAGAAAGATCTGTTAAATACAAAATTAAAGAAGTCCTCTATGAAATTACAACATTTGGGTGTAAATTCGAACTCACAATTTCTTGTACATTGATACTTAAATGGTTGAACTATATTCACGTTGGTTGTGATAGTATTAAAATTAAGTTGAAATTATACGGAGGAAATGGGTTTTTCTATCCTACAATAAATTTTCTACATTAAAAAAGTTTGTTTCAATTTAAAAAATATAACATTATTTTTAAAATGATTTTCAAAAAGATTCTAAGAATTTATTATGAAGAATTGACGTAAGGTACTGTCGCACTCCCAAACACTTTTCGTTTCAAGTCTTTTTCTTTTATACTCAAAAAAGAAAAAAAAAAGTATTCTTAATACGTCATTTTTTTAAGTGGTCGACATCTTTCCATCTCACGTTTTTCAACTTAATTATCTCTTGCAAGAAAATTTTCATTGATGTCGTCATAGATTTGTTGATGAAAATTTCAATAATATTTTTTATGTTAATTATAATTTTATAGTTTTAGTGTCAATGTTATGGTTTTCTTAAGATAATACATATCTCATATTTATGACGAAAATATAATCCATATATTTGTTAATTTATTTTTAAGCAAGATTAATAAAAATTTCTCTTTTTATTTTATTTTATTTTTGGTTGCTAAAAAGATTTTGGTGTAAAATGGAATTTGAGGTCTTGCTCTTCCATTCTCCTTCTTTTTGGGGAACCCACAAACTCCAACATGACACATGTGATGCACTCAATAAAATTTTGAATTAATTTTAAGGCATGATTTTATTTTTAAAAATAATATTGAAAAGTATTTATTTGTAATCTTTGTGCTATACCATAATTTCCATTTTAGTAGATAATCGTTCAATAATTAATTTGGAAAAGGAAGAAGAGGAATGTATTGCCTACTCTGATTAAAAATATTACTTTGTTAAGATAAATTTACATATTAGACCCTGAAATGAGTAGGAGTAGATCGAGTACTTAATATTGTCGTGGAGTCGACGACCGTGTTTGAAACGGTCAATTGTTATAAGTCTACTCTTCCTTCCTAGAAAGACTTTTATACTTAGCTTAGTTCGAAGATAACACAGAGCAATTGATGGCTCCTCCAAGAAGTTATTCTAGATACGAAGTAACTAAACAATAAAATAGATAAATAAACCTCTTTTAATTCATATAAAATCTTTAATTCTCATCTTTATACTAAACCCGCTAATAACAACTTAATTGATAAATTTCAGTTGATTATTCAAAGTTTTATGTTTATAATTCAAATCTCTTAACCCAAATGCACCAACTTTTTTTTTTTTTGAGTC